AGTAAAAGTAATCCTGGACAAAGCCAAAGGCAATGCTCTGGCATGGGTGGAAATTAATTAAGACTAACACGCTTAGACGGGGATGAATATTTAGGAAACTCGAGTCCTCTGGCCTCTGTGCTGCAAATTGATTTTCATTCGAAATTGTCGCCTTAAGTGTGATGGACTGCCAGGATGATAACAATCCAAAGTAAATTATGCGAAAGCTTAATGAAAAGATTTAGCTTAGTTAGAGAACGCTGCTCTGGGTTAATGTTAAGTTGATATAGGGGTTTATTACTTACTAGACTATACTTTTAAATTGAAAAGAAACTTCTCTCTTTATAGTTATGAAGAATAGTTTACTCTAAAACCATTTTCTTCTTTCGGATAAATGTAAAGTGCTATTACCTAAGAGGTTACAGGCATGTGTAATCGTCTGTGACTAAGTTTCTAGCTTCTATTATTATTTCACTTCCTACGCTTGTGTCCTCTCTAACCTCATTATTTAGTCTGGTTTGGCTCACGGGGCGTATGCGTAATGTCTTCGTTTGCCATTGTGTTTGTGTGTGTGCGTGGCTGTTGCCTACGTCATTGTCGTCAATTATTTTTGCATGTGTGTGCTGCTACGTAATGGCGTAATGTTGCTTTAATATCATTATTCTGCCATTTGCTTTCGGTGACCCCCCAAGGGAAAATTATTTAATGCGACGCCGAATAACGAATTCAATTTGCAAATTCGGGGCAAGGACGAGAAAAAAAGGAAAATACCGGAACGAAGGCGAAAGGAGACGGAGAAGTGATGGTTCCAAATTATTTGCCAATATTAAACGATAATTTATTTCCAACTGGGCCGAAAATTTGCCTTCGGAATTTGTTTAGCCGCGAGCACGAAATTTATGCGCATGCAGGGAAGACAGCATTGTAAAATCGGATGGAAATTAATTTCCCATGCATTTTCCCGGGGCCCAATTGTGCGAAAAATTTATTGCTTCAGCTAATGTTTAGCCTAAGGATAAATTCATATGTATTAGAGTTTTGTGCGTGTGTGTGTGACAATCGAATTCGAGGGATTTCAAATGTCAAAGAACTTTTGCATAATTTAAACACTTTCCGATTGCGTTTTCCTCCCTCAGATTACATCTTTGAGTAAATTCAAAATTTAAGATTATATTTATTGTGTGCAATAGAATTGGCACTGCTCCAGATTAAAACCAATTTATTATTTTAGCGACAGCAACTAAATAATTCATTGCTCTCCGATTGTCTTCTGGAAGGGTAAAGGTAAAAAATGCTTATGAAATTTTAACGAGGCCTTCGTTTGCATAAGGATAACAATATCTTACCATCACATATTTAATTTTAAACAATATTTATTCTAATATTTAAAACTGCATCCGTCCCGCTTTAAGGATCGAGTGAGAAACTACTTCTCTGCATTTTCTTTTCATTATTTTTAAATGCAGAGGGATTATAATTTCCGCCAAGTATTTTTTATCCGCACTACTTTTCCGAGACGCTTCTTTATTTTCTTCTCGTTGACTTGTCAGCTGTGCTCTTCCTGATGAGAGTCAGTTTAATTTCTGCCGCTGTTGTTGTGGAAAGCCATTGTTTTTCCCATTTTCCGGGCCGGGGATGCCGAGAAGTTATGTACTCGTATACATAAATAAAGGACGAGGGCGAGCAAAAAAATTATAAGCCTTTGTGCGTCGGATAGTCAGCATAATGAAACCCTAAAATGCAGCATAAAGAAGATGGCCCATTAAGGCAATGAAGAGACGTTGGAGGAATAAGTAGAAAAGGATCTGCGATAAAAAGTGTGTGTGTGTAGGAGAGAGAGAGAGTTTTCTTTCGAATATTATTATCAGGAGACGAACTCTGACATGCAAAATGCATTTAGCTAAACTAAAACGTAGTTAAAAAGTCGCATTATTTCCCATCACTCGGAAACTTTGCCATCGCACTTAATTCTTTGTTTGCTAGTTCTTCTTTGGTTTCCCAACTCTTCTTCAGATTGCATTTTTTCCTCATATTTTCTTCGAGCGAATTTCCTCACATTTTTGCATAAATTAGCATGAAAATTACAGTTTCAGTTGGTCCGAGTATCTGTCAACTTTTTGGTCTCCTTGTAGTTTCTGCTTTATGCAAAAACAATAGTTTCTTGTTTCCGTATTCAAGCCATGTGTTGCGAGATATTATTCAGCTCTCAACTGCGATCGAAGAATTCAACTAAATAATTACTAGGGAAATGCGCAAAAACTCATGTGGCCTGGAGCAACTATATGTATATATATTTCTGGCTTTCTATTATATCTTTGCATGGGGAAACCAAGGCCAAAAAGCCATTTCCTTTGGCCACTATCTCTCGTTTTTTGCTTTCCCTGCCTTTGCATGGGTATTTTCATACCCACTTAAGCAGGGGGAAGATGGCAAGACAGTCATTTCAATAAACTCAAATAACAATGCCCAGGCAAGTAAGTCAGAAACATTTTCATTTCCATTTCCAGTCAGACAACTGCTAAACAATTTTCCCACCCACACGCCCCCGGTCTCCGCCAACGCATTCTTGTTCCTTTCGCTCTGCCTTTGCCTTTGCCTTTGGATTTGGATTTCTTTCTTTTTTATATATTTGTGAAGATTCCTTCGTTTCGGTTGCTTTCCACAACTCGGCAAAGCACCAAAACTGATTAAATTTCCGGAAATACATGTCTGCGAACGTATCGAATCGATTTACTATAAAGAAGTAAGTTTTTCCCACATACGGGCTCCGAGATGGGAGCATTGAATATAAAGCATACGCATCGTTGCCAAACATTTTCGAACATTTCGTTTAGTTTACTGCTCACAAATTAAACAGGGGGGAAAAAACAATATAATTGGAGTTTCTGCCATTCATTTATAAAATGCTTTCCAATATTAATTGAAGAGATAAAACCCATAAAAATATGCGTAAAGTAAAAGGTATTTCTTTATATCTCTGCACAGTTTCGAGATCTTTAATAAAAAGTTTTGTGTTTTGTGTGCCTCAGATAATACCCAGAAAAGACAGATTAAGGCAGAAGAAATCTGAACAAACAAATATCCATTACACCTAAGGATTGACCTAACTTTGAACTTTATTGCCCATTGTCTGACCCCCGTGCTGCCCCTTTTCTAATTGCTTGGCCCACAATTCTTAATTTAGTTGTGCTACTTAAGCAGTTTAATGCCGAGGCAGCAACGACTGCGCCTCGTCCAGGACGCCCTTTCATCCGCAAACTGCCTGTGCCACCTCCGCCTCGAAAGACAAATTAATGACCCTCGGAGCAGGCTGAGGATGCGACTGCGGATGCGGATGCTCCGTCTTGGTGGCGCTGAATTTATGGCACAGAGAGCATGAAAAAGAAAAAAGTTGCGGCAAGACGGAAATTGCGGCCAGTTGCAAAGTCAAGAGACTACTTCTCGGTTTGGAGATGTAATTCCTCGACCCTCGTCCTCGGTCCGGTTTCATGATAAAACGTTTTCCATGGCAATTCCCTGGGACGCTTATCGCGTTTTGATTTTTAATTAAAGCAAAAGTATTTCACAAACTGGAATTTCGTTTCGTTTATTTGCAATTAAATTAGGCAAACAACATGAAGACACTCTCGAATCCAATTATCTCTTACGGAGCACCGAGATACAAATTACAAATGTGAATAAAGTCATTTCGAATACTGGCGTGCGTATATATACAAGTTGTATACAAATTTGAACTTTTTGACAACTTTTTGTTTTCTGTCCAAAAGTTCGGCAAGAATTTGTGGAGGAGGTACAGTGAAGAGCAAAGTTTGAGATGTTTTTTTTTTTTCTGTGATGTAATAAGACGGCATTATTGTGTACATAGAATCGTTGAGACTGAGTGTGCTTAAAGAAAACCTTAAGCCGGCTTGTTTCAATACTTTCTGAACGAGTCGGGGGCAAATAAGTGAGCGACTCAGACATTAATAGCAATCAGAAAAGTTGTTGCCCGGATGCCAGCTGTTGGCTTTGCAATAAGTGCATATTTATATGTTTGTCACACTGTTTGAGCACTTGAAAGTCCTAACTAACCGCAGCGTGACTAGGTCCCTAACTCACTTACAATGGCGCAACATCGGGGCAGCAGTGCGTATGATTTACAATGTTTACTCGGGGCGAGTTGGGTGACACAGAGTAAAGTAACGTAAAGTCACTATTGCTGCGGACAACTTGATGATGTTATTTGCTGAACAAACCAAGCCAACAACTCGCACTCTCGACTCTGTTTGCCTATGTGACTTGGCCTGGGGGGAAATTATATGCGGGGAAATTCACTCGAATTTCGCATAATAAATGAAAAGCGAAGACTAGAACGAACGTAGGCGAAAAACCATCGCTGGGCCTCATGATGGAATGCGAAAATAACTCAATTTCCAGGAACACAATTAATTCAACTAGTGAGCTGAGGATTATGAGCGGCAAGGCAGACGAGTCTAATTACTTTTGCTAATGATCTGCATAATAATTTACTTACACTTGAGGGCATCATATAATTAAAATTTTACACCAGCTTCGAGTCACTGATTCAATTAATACCCTGCAGAAGGACCTCTGGGGGTCAAAAGGATAATCTCAGTTTAGATAAGCCACAAAAAATGAAATTTAATTAAATTCTAAAATAGTTTCTTAAACTTCTTACATGGCCCCTTTTTATTTTTTATTTTATCTCTTTTAATAAGTGTATATTTTATTAATTTAAGCTGAGTATAATTTTTTTTTTATAATATAGGAACTTGATAAGATAGGAACTTGACTGAGTTAAGGGGATATCAGGCTTCTCATTAAGAAACCCAGGTAGGGCATTAAGAATTTACTAGTTAATAGTGTGAACCGCATCTTATGCCTTAGATAAATTGTTTGTCGCCCCAGATACGCATTCAAATGGCGCGTGTCGGGTTAATTATTAAGCATAGGTTAAGTGCCACAAGCCAGCCGGTGGAAGGTCTAATGAAAAGTGTGCCATCTCTTTGAACCAATTGCAGCTGCCACCATGGAAGGTCTCCCAGGCCCTCAGTCGACAATGGCCAACGCCTCATCCTCAACCTCATCCTCCGCCTCCGTTTCCGCGGGATCCCAGGGAGCGTTGAGTACGTGAACGTCTCCGCGGAGAATGTCCGCTTGCATGACAATTGTAGCGTGCCGGCATTCAGAAAACGCAGCATCACCAGCAGACGACGCGGCTGAGCGAGCAGTACGTGAAGTGATTCTCAACAAGGTGCAACGGCAGGAGGACTAAGAGGACTAAGACCAGCAGGAGCGCAAGGACAAACCAACGCACATGCACGACGGAAAGGCTTAGCACCTGCACCACAGCGACACAGACAGGAGCAGTAGCAGCAGCAGCAGCAGCATCAGTAGAGCCAACGCACGGAATAAGTAAGTGCGAGCTGAATAAAAATGTCTTCCTTCCACCGAAAAAAATCCAAGAATAACACACAGGGCACGGACAGGTATCCTGACGACAGTCTGGCGGGTTTTTTTTTGGGCTTATGAGACTGTCGAGTGCCTTACTCAAGGAGAAAAGCTGCTGGAAGATAGTCGGGTTAATTCCCGAACAACGACCAATAATGGTGGACAATCCGCTTCCACTTCAGATGGATGGAAGTATTGCTATGGAGAGGAAAAAATCGTTATAGCAATTATGTTTTCCTGATATTATTTTCATATAGTTTCATATAGGGTTCAGTCCTAGTTATTGTAAAGCCCTAGCAATATACTTCCTGCCCTTCAAAGTGAGAACCCTTAATAAGCATTACCTCGTGATCTTCTTATCGAATCGGTTTCGAGCACTGGACACAGGTGGGCAACAAATGGCTGATCCAATGACCCAATGTCACCAGTCAGACAATGAAAGGACCCCAGCTCTTTGCTGTGCACCTTTAACCACCATCGACCCACTCCGTCCACTCCCTTGTCGTTCCACGTAGGCATTCTGTTCATGTTGTCAGAGGAGCCTGCTAGACTGACATGTCTGGCATATGCAAAATGCCAACTGTCCTGGCTACCGAACCTATCCACATTCTTCTCAGCCCACCCTCGGCTTCCACTGCTCCCTGCCCCCTGTTCCTCTGGTCTTGTTGTTGACAACAACAAGGGCAAGGACACTACACCAAGTGCAAACAAGGTGATGCTTCAGCTAGCAAACATACCAAAAAACAAGACGAGAGAAAGGGAAGGCAAAGACAACGAAAGGACCCCTGTTCTTTTTTTGGAGGGACTGCCTTCAGTTTGAGCACAAAAATGGCAGAGGGCCGAATGAAACGCTTCAGGACACACACTCGGCGGAATTGGTTGAAGAGAGTAGAAGAGACCGAATGAGGTATTGTGAAAAAGGCTTGATAGACCTTGGATCGAATTAAGTTTGGAAGGAAAAAATTTAATTTAAAAAAGTGCCGTAAACTGAAAGGGTGCCTTGAATAAATTACATATAATAAGGATCCTTGTAATTGACTTTAGTCTGATATAGAACTTATGACTTTAAACTTGAATTTCTGTCTTCTAAGATATTGTTTATTCGTTAATAAAAATAGCTATAGTACCTGAAGGAAGTGTTACAAAACTAATTTATTTTTATTTGAAGCTTTCTTAAATAAATATTATATTTAAGACGTGTTGACATTCTTTAATTAAAGCAATTGAATTTTGTTCTTTCTTTCCAGAATCCCGTTCACTTTAACTGCCATATATTTTTTTTTGCAAAAGAATAACAAGCAACCTTATTGATGTTTAAAGGTTAAATAAAAAAAGGACAAATAAACGGGTAAAATTCCTGCCGCAACAAGAGAAAGCGAAAAGCAGGACACGCCACAAACAGCTATCTTGTGGTCAATTATAAAAGAGAGTAAAAAAACGCGAAAAAAACCATATAAAACAAGGACACAAGTTATCCGAAAAACAACGTGGCCATTGTGACCAATAATAATAATGGTTATGTTGCTGCACTTGAATCGCCACCTCCCGCCATCAGCAGCAACGCGAACGCGGCGGAAAGTCACGCCCACCAGGACGCACACGTGGCTAGTCCTGGTCGTGGTACTGGTCCTGGCTCTGACCCTCTCCGGATGCACTGCAGCGGGAATTAGCTACAGCAGCAACAGTGGCAACCTGAGCTCATCACAGCGCAGCTCTGGCTCGGGGCCATCGACCAGCAACGGTGGCCTTGTGTTGATCGGATCCAGCAGCGCCACATCCAGTTCCGTGCCCTCATTATCCCTCACTTCATCATCATCGTCATCGGCGGGTGGCTCCACATCCTCATCCACCAGCAGCAGTAGTTCGTCCTCCTCGGGTGCCTCGAGCAGCGGAAGTGGCAGCAGCAGCAGCAGTAGTAGTGGCAATAACCGCAGTGGACGGCCCTCTGGCAGCAACTCCAACTTCAATTCCAACTCGAATCATGATCAATTACCCGCCCAGCTAACGTCGCGGATTATCCACGCACGCAATGGCGCCATATCGGGCGTAATTGTCCAATTAGATGGCCGGCACTTGGATCCGGTTGAGGCGTATCGGGGAATACCCTACGCCTCGCCGCCGGTTGGGAATCTGCGGTTCATGCCGCCCGTCTCGGCGGCCATGTGGTCCAATGTGAAAAAGGCGGACAGGTAAGTCAAGTTACCTTCTAATATTAGGGTATTTTTGCTTGGGATTAAGCGAAATTGTTTCCTAAAACGGTTGAAAAATAACAACAAAATGGCCTTACTTATGTATATTAGATTTAAAAGAAATTGTTGCAAGGAACTGTACCAAAACACTAATAAGAATATATAAAAATCTTATAGAAAGCTAGGGTTTATTCTCAACCAAAAACATTCCACTTTAAATGACAGCCAAAGTCAACCGGAAAAAGTCTCCAGCAAATCCCATCAGGAGTTACACGAACCCTCCTCATCCAAATAATTTATTATATTTACCAAAACAAAATGCTTCGTCCTTTCAAAAAGCGTTAAAGCATCCTGCCTGCAAAAAGGGTTGAATTTGATTTCCCTGTTTTGAGTGCATAAAATGATCAAAATGCCATAAGTCAAGGACTGAGCTCTCTCGAGACTGTCCAACAATTGTCACCTCAATTAACTGGCTCATTATTGAGTCAAGTGCGCAGGCGGCGGTCCGAAAATCTCGAGAGTCAACTGAAAATAATGAAAATAATGGAAAGTGCTACAACCCTTTTTGCCCAGTTTGCGCAACAACAATGGACATAATGATAATGGCTTCTGAAAATAACGAATGAAAATGAAAAAAAATGTGGGGAAAATACAAGTCAAAGGTCAACTAAGTCGGCGGCCTTCCGCCTGAAATATCTCGAAAATTAAATATTTACGCTGTCGCCGGCAGCAAACGATGCGACGGGACAGCAGCAACCTGGAAAAGCAACAGCAGCTACACAGCGGCAGCAGCATCTAATTTACAAATGCTCCCAAGTGGCAAATCATTATTCACAAAGATGCCCAGAGATATTCCAGCTTCCCTTGTTTACCATTGTTGTAAAAAAAAGGGGAGCGAAATGGGTCAGCACTGGAAAAAAATGATCCCCAAAGAAAGTCTTTAAAGAAAATGTATTTAAAATTCAAATATATCTTGTAGGTAATTGTATAAAATTCTTTAAAATTTTAGAAAAATATTTTGCAATGATAAAGTAATAGTTTTCAGAGAAATAAGTTCTTATCTCACAAACCTGACAAATCATTTCACTTAGAGGTCATCGTCTATGTTAGAAACTAATAGATTATAAATATTTACATGTTCCTTACAATTTAAATATACAATTTCCCTTACAGTCATGAAATCTTTTTCAAAGTTTTCCGCCTCTGTACAGAATTTTCCCCCCTTTTACTTCAAAGTCCCAATGCTGATGTAAAAAGGTCCGCGAAATCAGTACAACGCACAACGGGGCCAGGAAAATAAAATATAATTTTTCAAGTTTAACAAAGAAACAGCACCACCTGCGGCCTGCTGGCAGACCGATGATTCTCGCATTCTCGCATTTCCTCCGCCAATTTTTTGGGTAATTCAAGTCGCCAAAGCGGACAGTTGTGTCGTTTTCTGCGGCATCATCTTCACTTTTCCGGCGAGGTGAGCGGCTTTATTTGTCAGGCCGTCCTGTCTTGACAGCGGGGGGTTTGGTCAGTTAAGTTGGTAAGGGAGCCAATAAAACGGCTTGAGTAATGTTCAGGAGATTTTTCAGCACGTCAGCGTAATAAAGTTGTCCATGGACAGGACAGACAATAGGTCATTAGCCTGATTTTGCCCACCCCGGGAAATGGATACATCTCACGTTGCGAGGTACAAAAAAATTTAGATTGTTTAGTGGTATTTTGGTTTAAATTTTTGGGTTTTTCAAGCCCAAACCCATTTAGGAGGATGCGTAAATATTTACTTAATGTTGAATCTATTTTACCTTTAGCTCCGCACTTTTCACCTGTCAAATTTCAACCTTTGAACTAAAGTTGATTTTGAATTTTATGCCACAACCAACCTGAACTTTGTGTGCTGCATATTTTTCACCACCGCAAGTTTTCCCGCAACTTTCATCGGGCCTCATTGCAAAAATAATTTCTCCCCACCACAGAGAGAAAAAAATAGTAAATAAAATAAAGGAAGCTCAGCAGGGGGAAAAAAGAGGAAAAAATTATGTCCACACATATTCCTAGCCCGCCAAAGGCAGCAGCTGTTCATGGCTTTGACAAGCCACGCGTGTCACCACCAAACCACCGAGCACCGACCTTTCCACCTCCCATTTTTTTTCTTTCCCCGCCCTGCCCCACCCACGCATTTTCCCCCACCCACAAAAGGCGCCATCGTCTTTAATAAAAATGAAATAAATTCTGCCGGCAGCCACTTTGCACTCTTGATGTCGTTGTTGTCGTTGTCGTTGTTCCGCAACTGCACATCGTTGCCTTCCTCTGGTCCTGCCTGTGGCGTAAGGATTATGAAAAACAAGCGGATTAGTGGCCAACCTCTCCTGACCAGGTTCTGCTCGAATCCCCGGTTCTGGCTCATAAACGAAGTGTAAAAATCGCAATAAACTGACGAGTTTTATGCATGACGCCAAAGTTTTTAATAAAGAAGAAAAGTAAAAGCTCGGCGCAAAATAAAAAAAACGCTAAGTGGGGAAACTCAAGTTAACGATTTTCCTAATAAAAAAGCGCATTAATGAACGGAAGGGACCCTGAGACCTTCAGAAATATGCGTGCAGCAGGTTTGAGAGGCATCTTTCGCGCTTCAACAAACGGAAGCTGGCAATACACAGAACGAAAATGTCTTTGGAATAATATATATATATAGGAATACAAATTAGTATGAAATTGATACTGAATATATATATTAAAAACGTATATATTATTGATCTTTCCTTTGGAGTTTAAAGTTATCCCTAGTAAATTTTCCTTTCTAGTGTAAAAGGTGCGTGCAGCAGTTGGAGAGGCTCTCGTTTGCCCCAGCAAACAGGAGCTGGGCTCCATCATTAAAAACGTTAATTCCAATTTGTGGCTCAAGAGCAAGTGGTAACCACAAGGCGGTGGGTTAAGGAGGGGCGGCGTGCCTCCTCGAGGACATCAGCCGCATAAATTGCCGACTGACTCGACGCGGCGGGGCGCTACAAACTGTTGCCCGTTTTAAATGAAATTGCGAAAATTCATTTTAAATTGGATTTTATTTAATTTGACTGCGGCAAGAAAGCTTTACGCCCGAAGGAGATTTTTCCAAGAAAGGTGTGAGCCATGAGGTGTGTGTGTCTGGGTTGCCTGCCAATCTAATTTGGGAATGAAGCTGGGGAAAATGAGGTTGGTGCGAGGAGAGGCGGAGCACAACCTTCTGGCCCGTTGGCCACAGGTAAAATTAATCTATTTTACTTGACGTGGCCGCAATGTCGCGTATAATTTTATGCGATCCGGTGTGCCCTACGCTCGTCACCTGCCATCCCCCCATTGAAGTCTACACTGTGAAAAAATGGATGACATAAGGGAAATAATGAAAAATGTACTACTATTGAAATTTACCCTAAACACACTTCTTTTTCCATATTTCATTATCTAAACTATTAATAATATTTCATGTTAAATTGAAAATACCTTTGCAATTCATTTCTCTTGATGTATATGCGTGTACTTTTCTGCTTGGCTAAGATTATGCTTTTGTTTGATGTATTTAAGCCGAAAGCGCCAGCGGATCTCTGGCCTGGGCTGCTGTCCTGGCTACCATTTATTTACCACAAAGCGTTGCGTATCCCCTTCCCTGTCCCTGCCCCAGCTTCAAAAGTCTCACAGAAGCCACAAGACCGTGACCCTCGGAGATCTGTCTACTCCTGAGGCGCTTTTCCCTGCATGCAGATTAGCCTGGCCTTCCTTCCTTCCACTCAAATGTACACACAAAACTGGAGCGTTTTGGGCCAGCTTTGCTTTATGTTTTGTTTGTGAATACCAAATTGCATGTATATTCCGGAATATGCGAGATGCGAGGTGATGGGAGGACTTTGGCAATGGCTATAACCTTGTTTGCTTTTGACCGCGTGCTCTGGCTACCGAACAGTTGCCGTCTGGTCAGGGTCATTTCATTCCCCAAATTGTTTGCACGCATTTCCCAGATATCTGTTTGTGGCAAATAATCTGCGTTGAAAGCAAACACAGTTTGAGAGATGCAATCTAATATAAATTATTAGTCGGAATTCAAATATGTTGAGAACGTTCGAACTGTAGATATTCAAGGAACTAAAGGACACTGGAGTTAAGCTGCTTAAAGGCGTTGCTCTTAAATGTTTACGGTAGGAAAGCATGAAAAAACAAATTATAACTAGAATTTTCTAGGAAGGAGCATATTGGAATTCGTACTTGAAACAATTTTAGAAAATACGTAAGCATTTAGAGTTTATTTAAATTTAAAGTCATTTGAATGCTATCTGCTTTATCTACATTTTAGAGATGTGAGAAATTAAAATAAATTGGTAAAGCTGAGAGAAATATTTAACAAATAACCCTCATTCATTTGTTAATGAAAATACCTTCGCTATATTACCCTGAGTTCCATTCCGAATGGATTTTCCCAACTGCTGGCACATACTATTCCCGTAAAAATAGTAAGGTGCTCTTAAATAGATTGGCCATCAGGGAGACATGATTATTTGCTCCACAGCTGTCTGTGGAATCTACAAGTAATTATCAAGTTTTTAGTGCCTGGCCATTTGCAAATGCGTTATCGATGGCTGACGGGGGAGGAGGAGTGAAAGTAGGACCCGTCCTGACCTTAATTGCGGCACCCCCACTTTATTAGCCCAGCTCGTTCCCTCTGGCTACCTGTGCCACCTGCATAGCATCCATGGCGCCCGAGTGCTGTTGTGCGTGCCACCCAGTCTTATCTGGTAAAGTTCAGCGGTTGCAAAGTGGCATAAACAAGATCGCTTGCCACTTGAGAAGTGCGCCCCATTCGTTTGCCATGGCTAGGGGGGTCCCTTCCCCAGCAGCAACATTAAAAAGGCAAAATGTGGCTTTTATGACCTCGAAAGAGGGGGATAGAGCTTTCGGGGGATTTTGTTACCTGCTCGCACAAGCACTACAACTACGGCAAGTGCCGTAAAAACTTTTCACTTTCATTATTTTTAATATTTCTGCTCATCCAAGCTGGTCCTGATTCCGCAGGGTTCCCAGGTTGACACCATGTCCGTAACATTAAAAAAAAATAGGAAAATCTATATATATTTAAGAAGGACATAAGGGGGAAGGACGAAGCCCGAAAATGAAACTTTTATTACCTGCCTTATTGTTTTGCCATAAAATTAATGATTATTATGGCAATCGCATGGCCACCACAAGCGTCCATTAAACTGGCCACTGCGACCCACTGGGGGTCAGTTCCCAGAGTGCCGCGGATTCCCAATTTTCTGCGAGGCGTTTGAAATGCCATAAAAAGCAAAAATTAAATATACTCGCCATGGAAAACAAAAAAGCAGCTCCAGCAGTGGCAGTGGCAACGTCAGCGGCGGTAATAACAAAGATAAAAGGGCAACAGCGAAATAAAGTTAAGGAAATTAAATAAAATAAATTCTCGTTTCGCAATGTCATTAATGTTAATGCATTTTGGGATGACTGGAAGAGGAAGCTTCATAATGGCCAGGCTGATAGGAGGAGCCTTTCTGCACCCTGAATGGTGCTATTGATTTTCGCTTTATGACAATTTGATGGCCAACAGGAGTTGTGGCTGTTAATGAGTTAAGCCCACAACTTCAAGGGGCTTCCGGCATGTCAACTGTAAATTAGGAAGGACCTCGATGACGGGACCCAGAACCAGACAAGTGACATTTAAGGGTTTTCCCAACACACAAATCGCATCAGGTTTAATTCATTAGTGTGACCTGCTGCAGATATCCTTTCAACCTCTCACAGGGATATTGCCGTAAATCTACCAATCAATTTCGGGCTACAGCATGAAATTTGAACACACAGCATCTCATCTGCGGAATATTTCCCCTAGAAACTATTGGCAGAGGGTGCATCCAATGTGGAGGAAGGTTCTGTGTGTCACCTTCCTCCCCAACTCATAGATCAGATTAAAAACAAATAATAACAATGCCAGCTCAAAGCAGCTGCCAGAACCGAACTGTTTGGCTTCCATTGAGCACTGGGAAAATTATTTGACTTGTTTGTGATTTAGCTAAGATCAAGTTTAAAGTCAAACATAAATTGGCAATGAGAGTTCAGATGAAATTCAAGTGTTAGCAGATAATTCTAAACTAAATTTATCATTTATTTATTATTCAAATATCTGAATTGCTTGCTTGGGAGCAACCCAAACAGGTTTGTGATATACTGACTGCAATTGCTTACCTCAAACATTATTCTCCAGTGTATCACATCAGTTTCATAAATGAGCGCAAGGCCAACACACAGAGAGAACGCTCTTGGCATTTGCATGGCCTGGTCTGTGGGAATATTGGGGGAAAATCAGTAAATTGCACAAGTGCACACATACAGAGTTATCGAGAGAGAGAGAGAGAGATGTGCCAAGAGGGAAAAGCGAACGATAAGAGCCAAATCGAAAACCAATTTACCAGTATTGAAAATAAGCCTTGGCCGAAAAGGGGAAAGAAGGAAAGGAATGGGGGGTCTTTTTCCTACCCCCGAGAAAACAAATTAAAACGCAAACTTTGCGTTCAAATCAAAAAGTTGTTATGGCCAAAAGACAATCACAAAGTTGACGTTCGGGGCTAAACTCCGCCCCGGAAAAAACCCCCTCGAAGATTACGCAATTCTGGCAAATTAATCTATTTATAACGACATTCGAGGCCGGGCATAAAAATAAGCCTATTTACCGAAAAACTTTTTTTTTCGGTTTCGGTTATTTTCTTTTAGGGAAAACCTTTTTTAAACAGAGACAGCCAAAATGCCTTCGAAGGAAAGTTTCGCCCTTGACAAGTTTTGGCACTGAAATCTTTTTCGATTTTTTTTTTTCATTTCAGATTCAGCCCCGTTTGCCCGCAAAGACTGCCGGATATCCACAATGAGACGGCGGCCCTGGAGCGGATGCCCAAGGGCAGGCTGGAGTATCTGAAGCGATTGCTGCCGTATCTACAGAATCAATCAGAGGACTGCCTCTATCTAAATATTTATGTGCCCATACAAGGTGAGTGTGCGGGACGGACACAGCGACTGGGGTTTTTTTTTCTGCTAACGCCAACAACATCAAATAAGTATGCTATAATTTTTGTCTTTTGTTTTCATTTTTTTGCACTCTGCTAAAACCAAGAAAAATGACACGACCATGCCGGAGGGAGAGACTGAGTCTTGTTTATTTAGCACTTTGCAAGGCATTTGAATAAATTGGCAGACGCCCTGAAAACCGGGTGCGAGTAACTCGCCTCAATTTTTCTTCCCTCCGTTAATCCCTAAGGCCAATGCCAGAAAAGGGTCAGCCTTGGCAAAGTTTTAAAAATCTCCTTTTTATTTTGGTTGAATTTTCGCATGGGTTTCAAGTTTCTGTGCCTGTTTTTTTTTTCATTTCCCATGCTGCATGCAAATGGACAAATGCTTGGGCATTTTTCAAATTCCCAAAAAGAAAAAATACGCTAAGCTGGATGGAAGGTCCAAAGTGGCCAAATTTATGCCTAAAAGAATGTCTGGGCCTGTCCGGTTTTTTGAGAAAAATCCAAAACAATTTGCCACATTTGTCTGCAGCTGATTTGCTTTTTGAATTTTGAAAGGGGAGACAGAGGAGCCATTAAAGTAGATCTTAAAAAAAAGGATAATAAATTTAGGCAATTTGGTTTTTATTTACTTATTAATTGTTTTGTTCAATTTATAAGATAATTCATAGTGAAAATGCTGCGTTTTTATAACTTTGCAGTGTTATTTAATTTAAATCAGAAGCTTGTAACGCTTAAAAAAAGAATACTTGGATAAGATCGATTTTCGTTTCGATACTACAATTTAATTGCAAACTTCAAGGGTATAATATGTAGCTTCCTGAAGTTAGCTTTATTTGTCTGTAAAATATAGTTTATAAAATAAACGATATATTACAATCACTATTAATTCAACTTTTAAATAATTAATAGAAACAGAAATATCTAAGAAATAAGTATCATTTCCCCTTAGCATTTTTTCTTGAAACTATTCTTTGCTCTAGTTCATAGTTTTTAAGATAATATTTTAAAGCACTTTAGTTCCTTTATCGATCCATTCAACTATATGGCTGTCAGTCATTCAGTCAATTCCAGTCGGCCACTGGGAAATGCAACGACAGCAGCGAACTCAAATGTAGACGCCGCCGCCCCCGCCCTCGGGTGGGTAGTAAATTACATTTTAATTAAAACCCAGAGGAACGGTGGCCATCGGGAGTCCGGGACGCTCAGCACGGCTTAATGGGAGCCATCAGCGGCAGTCATTTCCCGGCTAACTGAGGAAAACTGAGTCAGATGAGGAAACTCGAAACTTGGGCGCGACGCCACCTGCCAGCCAAGGAGTTGTGGAACTGAAGTGCACTGCGAATCGAAGTAAATTTGATTGTCTATCAGCGCGTTAAGAGCTACATTTAATGTACTCTTCGGTGGCAATGGAGTTTGCCGCCGCAAAGCGATTGCCTTTCAGGCTGTCAGTCAGTTAGACAGTCGTCCATCATTCTGGGAGACAGTTGCCTTGATTTTGCCACTGGTTTTCAATTAACTTGCTGTTTCACAGGGCGTATACCTAATATATTTACTTACACCCCCAACAGGGCGTATACGTAATATATTTACCCTAACAATATTAAAATTAAATAAATCTTTGGTGTTTTATCAGAACTATAATTATTATAAATGTACTTAACTATAGTTGAAATTCTATTTCTATTTCTATTTAAAATGAAATAACTCTTGCTCCATTTTCCAAGAACATTTTCAATGTCCAAGGTCCTTAGCATAAGGAGTGTCCAATTAGATGAGTTTTTCGTTGTTATAACAATGGCACATTTTATTTCTCGGTTTGCTGATAACGAAAATGTCGCCTTGTCTGCTCATGAAAAATGAAGAAAGTAAATACCTATAGTATAAATAAAGATTCGCTCAAGTATGAAGGAATTTACATTTTACCTGCAATTTGTCTTCGACGGCAGATGGCAGGAAAGGTCCCAGCCGATGAAGGCGTGCCAACTTTGCTGAGTTGCAAGAGTTTTCAATTCTTTTTTTCTTTTGATATTTATTTTCCCTGGGAGAAGGAAATTATGATAAATTGTTTGGGCCAGAAACTTGAGACGCCGCCCTAAATTGAATTGGAAATTGTATACGTATTTCGAGTGCAATGCTCATCTTCAAGGGCGGCTAATTGAACGAGCAATTTGTCGGGGACAAGCACCAGTGAAAGGGAAAATTAAATGTCTGGTTTTGATAATTGGATAAGCAGTCCCTGAAAACACAGGGAAACTTTTTTCTTCTGCTCAACAGCAGCAGAAGTAGCAGCAGCAGCAAAAGCCCAAGGATAAGGACATACTTACAGGAGGGATAACAACCGCAGCCAATCCGTGTCCTTGAGCATCCCGTAATAAATCTTTTAAAACGGGGGGAAAAAGGGAGCGAAAAACACACCGAAGAATATGTAAATTTTTGACAGTTTAACTTAATGAGCTGAGGGCACCGGGCCCGTCCTGGGTTTTCCCAGCTGTCAGAAAGGGCACCTAGATGCATAAATCATTATTTATTTGCGTTGGATCTGGTCGAAGTGACTGGCCAAGAAAACCCTAGATAAAATTCAAGGTTTCCTGAATTTTTAACAATCATTTATTAACAGTCATGGGTAAGGTGCATAGCTCTTTTTACCTTTTGATAGATATGACAAGGTATAAATCAAATAAATGGCAATGTAGCATTTATATCTTTTAATTTTGGAAATATTTCTTTTATATATTCCCTGAGGCTATATTTAAGCAATTAAAAAATTTCAAACTTAAAGATTCTCTCAGGCCTCAATGACAAAATAATGAAACATTTTTGGACTCTCTTTTTGTGGCCAACACCAGAGGCTCACTCAATGTCCGAATGTGTATGAATATGCTGCTAGAGAAGTGGAAAATATACTTTTATTATCCCTATGAAACACACACGCATACTGGCGCACACAAATAAATCTCTTGTGCCTTTTTTGTAGTCTACTTTTTTGAGCTCCGTTTACGGGATTCGAGGAGCCGGAATTCAGGGATTTGGTCTCTGGTCTTGGACGGATATGCAGCTAGTTTAATCTACTTGGACATGACAATAAAATTTATATCATCTTAACTTGCCTCGCTCTCTTTGGGCTGCTGCTTAGTGAAGTCCTTTCTCGCCTCTGTGGTTTTTATTTGCTCCTTGCCATCGTCCTGTGCCCTGCGTCCTACGTCCTGCGCTTCATTTTGGCCACTTTCTCATCTCATCTCGTCTCATTTTATTTTATTTGCTGCCTTTTTTATGGTATTATTGTTGTTGCTCTGTCCGCTGGCATTTTCTTTTAAGTCCCGAACTTGTTCTCGCTGCGGCAACGCAAAAGAAATGCTCAGAGGGAAAAGTGTATAAAAATAAAAAAATAAACATACAAATGCCACATTAAGCATGATTTGCCGCTTTTCAAGGCAAAAGTCCATTGGGCTTTTTATTCCCACCCCCTCCGAAATCGCTCCGCCCTTCAGTTCTTTCGAACCCTCATCTGGCTTTGCTCGTTCGTGTGTAGATTCCAAGTTTATCAGCTGTTTGAATGTTGGCCATATTTTGTGCTTAACTGACTTTTGTTTGCCCAATGAGAAATGGACCTCCATCCTGTGTTCCGTATCCGTGGCTTGGTGAAAAATTAATGTCATAATTTCTAATCTCCAGCATTTCCATGTGATTAACTTCTTCAAGCCTCACTTAATGGCGCATTACGAGGAGGCTTTGCTGCCCATTGACCAATTGATATATGTATGCCAATGACTTCCTTGACCTTTTCCCATAAAGTTCGCCCTAAGACCGCCCCACCCAAAAGCCCGCTTTCGCAGGGCAATTGCATCTATATTTTCCATAAATCCATGGCAGTATTGTAGTTGAATTCATAATGAAATTTTTCCTTTGTGTCTATGGTTTCGCTTGAATTCAATAAGCCAATCGAATTTTGCCGAAAAGTTGTTTGATTGCGTGAGCCAGAAAATAAACAAATATTTATCGTGTGCACTGTGTATGCCAGCAAAAGTGGCCTCTTGAAATTGATATAGGCTGAAGTATGAGTATGGGTTTTTTGGGCAATCAATTTCGATCAAAAATGGGTATGTGTCAGGGATTTGGCAAATCAGAGAAGAGTGCAGGAAATAGATTTTTTAAATTCTATTAAAGTGTCAGATATTATAAATTGAATACGATTTAAGTAAACTAAATATAGTTTATATATTTACTATATTATTTATTATTATAATTCCTTTTCTCAGTGCATCAATTTCGGTTTGACTGTGGCAATGCCATTCCATTATCCCCTAAACCAATCATACGGGGAAACCCAGACCCATTGAAAATATATTCATTATTAATGAGGTTGGGGGACGGGTTGAATTGATGTGTGCCGAATGCGTGCCGCTTTCGTCACGCAAAAGGCGCCCCCAAGTCAGGCGGTCCGGAAAAGCGGAAGCGAAAATCGAAGAGAGAGCCGCTTGGCGCGTGATCCTGGTCACACACGGAAATGAAGTTTTCTTTTGAGCTTTTTTTCTCTTGTTTCTTTTGCAATACCGTGCAAGAGTTATGTATACAAAATGGCTAAATATAGATGCACGTTAGCACTGTTCCTACGTGTACATATTTTTATATAGTAGTCAAATTAACACCAAAAAAAGAAGGAGAGAGTTCAGCGTAAAAGGAAGGAAAAAACAAGTAAACTTTTTACTTTGTCTGCTCCCCGTAAACTTTTCCTCAGCAGATATTGCAGTTGGATGAGATTGTCGAGGGGAATGTGGCAAAAATTGAGGCAGACAGAGACCAGAATGATGTTACTTTTGCTCATTTTCTTTTGCCAGACACAATTGCCAAACGCAACGAGGGAGTAGGAAACGGAAAATTTCGAAATTACATTTATTATTTCCCCTGCTCCTGCATACCATTTAGTGTCAAGTTTTCAAAGTTTTTCATCTGCATTTGCATAGAAGTCTTAAAGCTCTGA